TGCATATACTTCACATGTGTCATGACATTTCCAGAAGTAAATTTCAGCCTAATTATATCTTCATTCAAGAATCCAAAGAAGTTACATTTAATCACATTTGTATGATAAAGGTTTAACCCATGCTGAAGAAATCATGGATCATGTCTGGTTGTACCCCGAGTATCAGAAAATAAACAAATGAAACTGTATGTTTGCTCTAGGGCAGTTCACAGTTGAGTCAGAGATTGGGGGAGTTTCCTGTAGCCAATCTGCACCCGGGTCCATTGTTAAATCAGATGAGTGGTGGGTCAGGCAGAAGGTTGTGCACAAGGCTGCCACACTCTGAACATGGGCTGGTCCCATAGCAGGCGAGGACTAATACCTGTGCAGAACTGGGGCTGAGGCTGCCCACCGTATGTGAAGCAAGTAGCATGATGGTGCAGAAATGGGGGCACATAGATCCTTCTCACTCAAGCAAGAGACATGTGACCCCTTTATGCTCACTACTCTCATGTCTACCACAACTTCTGCGAGAGTAGGAGATTCATGGACCCAGCATGATGTCTGGCCTGCTGAATGGAGGCCAGGAATGTGCACAGCTCTGGTACACCGGCCTGGCTACCTGAGTGGCCTCTCTTGGGTACTGCTCAGACCTGCACACCTCCTGATCTAAGGCAGGTCACTCTGGCAAGGGCTGTTTCCAGGGCAGAAAAAGTGATTTCTTCCTACACTGGAGAAAGCAAATTGCAAAGCAGGGAAGAAATTCTACCATGAGAGAAGCTACTTTAGAAATGCAAGGGTAGGTTGGCAAGGGTCTCTTTCAGGAAACCAAACCTCTGTGTCAACAAGATGAATAATTACTGTTTCAGTCAGACTCCAAAATTATTTAGACTCATACATACACACATACATTTTAACATGAGTGCAAAACAAGATGAATTACTTAATTTAGCCTTAAGTCCACTGGACAGGGGGGAAAAATGAAATTGAAGTCAACAGTGTATTAAAAATACTGGTATGGTGTACTTATAAAAATAACACTTGGAGCTTGTGTGATACGCAAAAACTTGTAATGTGAACATTATTTGCATAAAAATACAACTGTTAATCACTGATTCTGGTTACTTTCAACATTTACTCATGTTTCCCTATTTCTCTTAACATATTAAGTAAACAGATGTTCGAACCAATACCTATCATTAAAATACTTGTTAGCCATCACTCATCACTCCACCTGTTCCAGGGTTTAGAACATTTGATACTACAAACTACACTTATTTAACAATAAATCATTTATTTCCTTTTGATATCATACATGACTGTCAACCAAAATTTACCATCAGCATGAGATCATTAATGTTGTTAGCAAGAAGCACAGAAATCTGAATTTTTTATTAATCTATACAGTTCACTACTTTGCCTGTTTTTTTTTTTAAATACACACAGTCCCCAGGTTATAAAAATCGAACTTATAGAGAACTCTTCCTCGCCCTTTGATGTTATGTAGATTTCCCCTCAGTTCTCAACTAATACATCACCTTCACTTGCTGCATCTGCAGCTTTTACATCATTGAAAAGGCCTTTTGCACTGAAAACCCAATGTCATCTAGTCTATTCCGACTCATAGCAACCCTGTAGAGGGTTTCTGAGGCTATAAATCTTGATGAGAGCAGAAAGCTTTCTCCCTTGGAGCAGCTAAAATGATCAGTCTGAACTATCAACGTTGTGTTTAACAGTCCAGTGCTAAACAGTCAGTACCATCATGGCTCTTTTTCTTGCACTGAAGTACTAACTATTTACCTACAAATCTGACTGAAAGACACACTTAGAAACCAGGGAATCTCACAGGTTAAGAAGCAATACATTAAAAACTACTTTCCACTAATAGGTCATCTTCCAGTTTTTCTTAAAAGCCAGTAAAAAACAGATTTCTTATTTCCAACTCCAAGGCACTCAATTTAGAGATTAAAGATTTGAAAGTAAAAAAGCAGGACGAACAGGGACATTGTTTGTTAGAGTAAGTAGTTGTTAAACAGTATTTGAGAAGGGCCAGTATGAAAAGTTATGCACTCATGTTAATACTAAATATGGCTTTGAGTACTGGTGTGGCGCTGTAGGATAAGCACTGAACTTCTAACCACAAAGTTGGTCATTCAAATCCACCACTTGCTCCTCAGAAATATCAGAAAGGGTCACTATAAGTCAGAACCTACTCAATGGTAACAATTTTCACCCACTATACCACCTTTCCTTTAGTATAATATTCCCATAGCACATGGATACAATTCTGTAAAGGATTAAATAAAGTACCTTCTTCTCTGGGGGCTGCTTAGCAGATAGTGGAATTTTAGTGACAGGTTTAGGGAAGTTCCGTCTCTCTGCTGCTTCTCTGTTTGAAGTTTCAAAAGACATCTGACTTTCATTTTTAAGCCCCAAATCGTCACCACTCTAATGAAGGGAAACAGACAATTCTCTAAAGAAATGCTCCTTATCAGTTTTATTCTATTCACAATGGTTATTTATTTTATCCTGAAGGCATTTCAGTACAAAAATATAGGTATGTTGCATACACCTGGTAACGTGGTGGTTACAAATCAGGCTGCAAACCGCAAGGTCAGCAGTTGGAAACTACCAGCTGTTCTGCAGGAGAAAGATGAGGCTTTCTGTTCCTGTAAAGATTTACAGCCTCGGAAACCCTGTACAGGGTCGCTATGAGTTGGAACCAACTCCACAGCACATAACCACCACCACATACACCGAGAAAATGAAAGTATATCTATCTCTTTGCACAAGAAAGCTTGAGGCTTAAGCTCTCACAGAAACTAACATCTAGTTCTGGGGTTCCCACTGATAGATTGATAAAAGGTTGAATGGGCCCTCTGTATCTTTGACCCCCAAATTTCTCAGTAAGATGGAAGAAAGGAAAGTGTGAATCAAACCCTTTCCTCCTTTAAGTAAAGGGCAATATGGGGGGGTGGCTTCAAAAAGTTCATAGAAAAATTTCAATATTTTATTGTGAATTGAGTGAAGGACTACAGAGCAGATTATCAATGTTACATTGAACAAAGCATATACTTTGCTTCACACTACATGGTTGCAATCTCCTCTAGGTACCATCAGTTAACAGTATTTCCCTCTATTCACTTTTAACTATCACAGTCTTTCCTGTGTCTCCTATTACCTTTATCTTTTCTCGGCTAACTTCCCTCTTGTTATATATTGGCTGTTCTGTCACCCATATTAACATGTGTCTACCCTCTAGTCCAGGTTTACTGGCTGCTCCTCGAAAACCCTACACAGGGTCACTATGGATCAGAATCGACTCAACGGCACTTAACAACAACAACCCTCTAGTCCATGAATACTTTTCCCTCTTCCCCCCACTCTCATAACCATCATAGACTGTTTCTTTTCTCAAGAAAACCTTTTTTAAAACTTTTTATAGCATTGGTCTTATACAATAGCTGTCATTTTGTGATTGATTAATTGCACTCCGCATAATGTCCTCTAGGCTCAACCATGTATTGAGGTGTTTGACAGATTCAAATTGCTCTTCAACTTTCTGTAGCATTTCACTGTGTGAAAGTATCAAAGTTTGTTTAACCATTCTTCTGATGATAGATATTTAGGCTGTCTCCATCTTTTTGATTATGCCTCTTGTAGACAGCATATTGAAGGATCCTATTTTCTTATCCATTCTGCTCTTTATCTCTCTTGACTGGTATATTTGATCCATTTACATCCAGTGTAATTATTGATAGTATGAACTGATAGTTCTCATTTTTCTGTGTTTTTTTGTGGTGCTGCTGGATCCTTTTCTATGCTGAGTTCATTTTGTTCATGCGTTTTCTTTTCATTTTCATTTCTGTTGTGTTTGTTAGATGCCTTCAAGTTAGTGAACTTACGCACAACAGAATGTAACACTTCCTGGTCCTGTGCCGATCTCACAATCATTGCTATGCTTGAGCCCACTGCTGCTGCCACTGCTGCTGCCAACACTATCTTGTTTGGGGGGTGGGGGGAGATCTTCCTCTTTTTTGCTGACCCTCCACTTTACCAAGCAGGATGTCCTTCTCCAAGAATTCGTCCCTCCTGATAACATGTCTGAAGTATGAAAGACGAAGTCTGGCCATCCTGGCTACCAAGGAGCACTCTGGCTGTACTTCTTCCAGTACAGGTTTGGTGTTTTGGCAGTTCATGGTACTTTCAATATTCTCCTTCAATGTCATAACTCAAATGTATCAATTCTTTGACAGTCTTCTTTAAGCATTATCCAACTTTCACATGCATATGAAGTTATTGAAAATACCATGGTTGAGTCAGGTGCACCCAAAGGTATCCTCACACTGATATCTTTGCTCTTGAACATTTTGGGGTCTTATGCAGATTTTCCTAATGCAGTATGTCATTTGATTCCCTGACTGCTGCTTCCACGAGTGTTGATGGTTGATCCGAGCAAAATGAAGTCTCTGACAACTTCAATCTTTTCTCCATTTAACTTGATGTTATTTATTGGTCCAGTGGTAAAGATTTTTGTTTTCTTTACATTAAGGTACAACCCATACCGATGGCTGTGCTCTTTGATCTTCATCAGTAAGTATTTTAATTATGTTGCGCTTATAATTCTAGAAACTGAATTATATGGAAAAAAATGTTAAAAACAACAGAAAAAAACATGACCATCAGTGTTGGAGGAAGACTCTTTAACAAGCTTTGATATGCAGGTGATATAATTTTGCTTGCTAAAATCTAAGAGGGCTTAAAATACTTACTGATGAAGATCAAGACCATAGCCTTCGGTATGCGTTGCACCTCTGTTGTGTTAATATTTACTAAATCTTTCTGATTTTCTTCTTTTTTTATTTTGATGTGCAGGTGTATTTTCCTTTGAGGTAACAGTCTATTTTATCTTGAAATCTGATAGACTGTATTATATACATCTCTGATCATTTTGAGAAAAAATAAACTCCTACGAGTAAGCAACTCAGAGAGTACAAATATATATATTTTTAAAGTATCTACATACATTTTATTCTGCTCTCCAGAAACACTGTACCAATTTGCAGTCACATCAATAAACAGCCCAAGTGTCCTATTTATACATTCCTATACAGTGGATGTTACCCTTCATCTTGCTAATAGAACAGGAGGAGGGGAATCGGTATCTCCTTGTTTTCCTGCATGTTTACTGGGCATTTACTCTTCTTGTTTTCTTTGTAGCAGCCCATATTGCAAAAGGAAAGTCTAGCACGTGCATGTTCTTGTTTTTTGTCTTACATTTTTCTTACACAGCCAAGGGCAGGAAAGCTGCATGCTATTTCCAGGTTCTTTTAAGTTCAACAGGAATTCCCAAAGTCACTAGCAGTTTTTTCTCCTGGGCAGCCATGTTATTTTGTTTGTTGTTGTTATTGTTAAGTACTTTCAAGTCGGTTCTGACTCATAGTGACCCTATATACGGTTTCCAAGGCGCAGCTGGTGAGTTTGAACCACTGACCTTATAGTTCAAATTGACCTTGTGGTGCAGTGCTTTATCCCACCGTTGCCACGCATGTTATCGTAACTGGTAATAAAATAAAAAACAAGGCCATATTAATCAGGTTATGGAGGGTTTTGGACCATTCCATGGGCCCTAAGGTATGGTGTTGCTGTTGTTAAGTGTTGTTGAGTGGGTTCCAACTCATAGCGACCCTGTATAGGGTTTCTGAGGAGCAGTTGGTGAATTCGAACTGCCAACCTTGTGGTTCAAATCAACCTTGTGGTCCAGTACTTATTCTATAGCACCACTTTTCACTTTACTGCCATTTTCTTTCAGGGTCTTTAAGACCCTGTCCACTGAAACCACTTCCTCATGCTGTTTCCAGCAATCATAATCTGTTGCCATGACAATACTTGCATAGTAAATTCCAGTCTCTTTGGCAAGAAATACCTCTGGAACCGTGGTCATGTTGATAACATCTGCGCCCCCCAGGGTCAGAATATGAAGCTTTCTGCTTGGGAGCTAAACCGAGGCCCCTTAATTGTTTGTGATCATTGTCCCCTTCAAGTGACAACTGGAATCCAAGCTTCTTAGCAGTCTCTAAGAAGGACCACTCTCATCTTGGAGCAGAAGGATTAGCCACTAGACTAGGGGCATTCCCCTAGCATTGGAACAACTCCCATCATAGAAGGTCTGAGGCCTTCTGGAGGTCCTGTCTATGAACTGGTGGATGATGCTGATGTCCCTGGGCTAACTCTCCTCCCTAAAGGAGCCACATGCTGAGGTCACGATGTGTACAACAGTCTTCCTTCAGAACATTCTTCCTTCAGAACTCAAATGTTTGTCTGGTAGTTGACATGATGGTGTGCTGCTTCCCATGCAGAGCAAGAAGTACACAATCCACATTTTTTATCTTTCCCAAATTACGACCTCAGATGGCTCGCCAAATGGAGTAACCACATATTTTTCAGTTCTTGTTTCTAAAACGTCTGGGTCATATAATAGGCCTGTTTCACCACAGCCATGGTGGTGGCACCCAAAGCCATGTCTGCAGGAGGAAGGGCACATCCTTACAGGGCATCAGGGAGAAGGCTGTGGTCAGCAAGCCTGGAAACCAGAGCAGGTTCAAACACCAGTGAGGCTGTCAAATTTCGTTATCTTTTTATTTAATCTTTCCATAAACTTTTTAAAACCCCCTCATACAAATGATTCAGGAGGGGCCAGTCACTGGAGAAGGACATCATGTTTGGTAAGGTGGAGGGTCAGAACCCCAGCGAGATGGATTGGCTAAGTGGCAGCATCGATGGACTCAAGTGTGGTAACAATAGTGAGGTTGGCACAGGATATCAGGCAGTGTTTTTGTTCTGTTGTGCCATAAGGTCACTATGAGTCGGTACTGACTCGATGTCACCTAACAACAACAACACACAAATGATTATGCCTTAAAAGAGTATGAAAATAGAACATATATGTTGAAAAAAAGTATGCCTGTGTATATGATTATGCAAAACTTCTGTTGCTGCATAAGGCCCGTGTGGCACTATAGAATAAGCACTAGACTGCTAATCCCAAGGTCAACAGTTCAAACCCACCAGCTGCTCCTAGGAAGCCCTATACAGGGTTGCTATGAGTCAGAACCAGTTTGATGGTACTTAAACAACAGCCTCCTATTATATGGAGGAGTCCTGGTGTAGGCACTGTAGGATACACAATAGACTACTAAACACCAGGTTAGTGGTTCAAACCCACCAGCCACTCCTTCAAAACCCTATGCAGAATCACTGAGTTAGAATTAACTCAATGGCACTTTATATGGGATCCTGACTGCTAACCACTAGGTCAGCTGTTCAAATCCACCAGTTGTTCCTAGAAAATCTTATATAGGATCACCGTGAGTTGAAGCCAATTCAATAGCACTTAACAACAAAAGCAGCCTGTTATATAAACATATTTTAGTTTCAAATTCAAACTTTCATCCTTTATTTGAATTAATCACTTCAGAAGGCAAAGGATTTATTCCCCAAACCATAAAGATTACTTTTTATTATCTATTAAACTTTTTCCTTAGAAAAATAATTCCCTTAAGTATCAAATTCTAAAACATATCATTGCTAGTTCAGTAAGTTCTTCTTCCCATGCTTCCTAACCTTGTAAGAATTAGTTCTCGTAACAATCATACAAAAATGCTCATCACTTTGATGAGATTTCAAGAGAATTTGGTGAAAACAGCATTAGGGATGGGAGTCTTGCTGCTGAACAGTTAACAAGGAAGCCTGGGCTGCTGACCCTCATATTATTTTTGATCGTCCTAAGAAACTGAAGTCATAACAAGACCAACAGTCCACCCTATCTCTGACTTTTCGTTGTTCTACTAGCCAAGGTTAATATACTAGCACCATATTTTTTCTCATATAATGCATATTTTCTCATATAACACACATGCATATAATGTACATAGGGCATATAAGAAACACAATTTTCAAAAAATACACATTACGTGTATTATAGGTATAAAAATACAGTAGTATCATAAAGACATAGCCTAAAAGCAAGAGGGAAGAGTGAGTAATTCACTGTGACCATTTCAGAAAGTTGTTGTAAAGTACCTTAGAGTTGGTTGTGACTCAGAGACCCTATACCAGGTTTCCAAGGAATAGCTGGTGGGTTAGAACTGCCAAACTTGAGATTCAAACTGACCTTGAGGTCTAGTATTTATCCTACAGCATCGCACCAGGACTCCAAATTATTAATGTCAAGTCCAAATTATTAATGTCAAGCACCATTGTGAACAGAAAACAAACTCAACCCAGAGGTAGAAATACTACACAGAGCAATTGCCTTTTTCTGTTGTCCATCCTTCATGTTAATTCAATTACCTACTATTAGTTATTTTATGACGTGCTTATCATTACAAAACTAGTGAAAATGGATTCTGATTCACTACAAGCATTCTGCTGACCTTTACGGAATCATTTTCTTTACTATATGCCGAAAGGTACAGTATAAGCAGAAAGCAAAAATACAAAAAATCTTTGGGACAGAAATGGTCTTACCCAGAGAACCTGTGGACGTGTACTCTAAAACTTTATATTTTTTTGGTGTAGAAACAAAAATTAAAATTGTAAACTCCCATTAGCAAATGACAAACTTCATATGCAATATCAAAGGAAAAATAGCCCAAATCTAACTTGGCTTTAAAATTATAGATCCAAACAATTACTGCAATGTGAGTTTTAATGCCTTGGTGACCTTAACTTGAAGAGATGTGGATTTCCTTATATAAGAAAGCAATCTTATTTACTCAACAGTTTTCCAAAAGACTATCTTATGCAATAAAACATTAAAAAATAAAAAGACTATCTTATGTTAGAGCTTTTCAAGGATCCAAGTTATATGCTCACTAAGCATCAAGAACCACTTAACCATTTAAGACACAAAAATGCTTAATACAAATTGATGTACAGTTATAACCAATGAAGATTCCTAAAAATCAGATTGTACTAACAATTTAACATATTTCAATAGAAAACACAACAGAATGTAAAAAGAAACACAAGTATTAGAAGAACTGAAAATGCAAAATGAGACTATTTTCTCACCCCCAGTTTGTGACCATTGCTTAACTTCCAGGTTTCACCCGTCATTCGATAAAAGCGCTCTTCCAGTTTTTTCCGTTTCATTTCCTGCTGAGGTTTCAACACATTCTCCAAGTATCTACTAGCCTGTTCAGAAAAACAAAGTACATGTTGTTAATCTACATATTTGTTGTTGTTGTTAAGTGCCGTTGAGTCGGTTCCGACACATAGTGACCCTGTACAGGGTTTCCGAGGGTGTAAATCTTTACAGGAGTAGAAAGCCTCATCTTTCTCCTGCTGAGCGGCTGGTAGTTTCGAACCACTGACCTTAAGATTCGCAGCCCGATTCATAACCACTACGCTACCAGAGCTCCTTCAATCTACATATTTATAAAGTTTTAAATAAGAACTGGCTACAAAATTGTGCTTTCATAAAACTCCGTTTTACAAGAGGCAACATCTTCAACTTTGCCTTCCCTATATAAACTCATGCATTTGTAAGCAATATAAATAAAAATAAATTTCTATATATCCTGTAATATGCTTTCAGTGTCCACAAAAACTTTTTAATGTCTGAGCAATTTGTTTAAAATTTCAGCTCCTATAAGGCCTGACCTTTTGTTTGGTAAAATGTTCATTGTACCAGGGTGCAATAGTTAGGGATTTGTGTCACCTTGACTGGGCCAGGATACTCAATGGTTTGGCAGTTGAGTTGTGGTTATCCCCTGGTGATGAAATCTAACACAGGTTATGAGCAGCCAAGAAAGTCCAATGACATACAGGCAATGCTTTCTCTCTCTTTTCGGCTGGGGACCTGGTTTGCTTCCCTAGTAAACCCAATTGAGACATGTGGTACTGAGAGTGGGATTCCATAGAAACAAAACCAGAAGGATGAGTTTTCTAAATTGGTTTTCAAGTCTGCCTAATTTTAAAGGCACTGAATAAGAACTGGATATAAAATTGTGTTTTCACAATTAGTAAAGAGGGTTGTAGGGTGGTGGTGTGAGAAACGTTGTCAACACCAACAAATGCTCAAGAAATCCAATCTGTACTCATTTTAGGAGAGTGAGGTTTTCTTCATTCGATTTTGCAAAATCAGGCGGCCAACTTAGGCAGAGAGGCCTCATCAGCTCACAGTTTTATTCCCATTTTCTCTCCCCCAGTTAGCACACCTTTTACAATCTAGCCCTGAGGCTGCCCATGGCCAAAATGACTATTTTTCCTAGTCCTAGAACAAATTACTTTCCCCCTCCACCAATTCATCCTGCTCACATATCCCTGGGTGTGAATCAACAACCTATGTCTGGTATAGCAATCTAATGAGCCTTTTATTCCTGATGATGGACCATCTTGAGAATTTTTCACAGTGGCATATCTGACCTCACTCCACAGAAATTGGCCTTGGTGTAGTTTTGAGTTTGATACTCTTTCCCCCTTGTAAAGTCAGAGGAAATTAGACATGGCCCCCACATGGTTCTTGCAGTTGGCATCAGGAGTGGGATTCATTACAATGTCTCCACACTCGTGGAAGCAGATGGTTTTATGAAAGAAAGAACCAAGGGGCATGAAAAATGAAGCTTTTGATTTTTAGATTGTTAGTTTGAATTTTATTACCTGCAATGGCTAAAAGGAATGTAAGAGATAAAATCCTTCAGCTAAAGGTTGAAAAGCACTTTCTGGAGTTAACTAAAGCAGATATAACACTGGTTAAACAAGAAGGCTGATAGAGGCCAGGATCTACCGGATCCATCTAGCCAGGTGCCCAAGGCCATATGCGTATGAATGGGGTTAGTATAAAGGTGGCAAAGAAAAGATTGAATTTAAGTGCTTCTAAAAGTCTTATGTGGTTGACTGCCTTATGGATATTGGTTTATCCTGCCTATTACTGTAAAATAAGATGTGTGTGATGAAAATGAATATCAGGAATTATGATTACAGAGAGCACGTAAGCTCACCTTCAGCCTACACTTAATTGGATTTGCTAAAAAGGATTATAATTTGCTCAGAACCTTCAGTGTTGGGACATTTACATTTGAAAAGACATGAAGACCAACTCAGAACTGCTGGAAGGACAGGAGATTCATCACTGAAAGATTTTTACCTGCAGGAAAAAAAAGCAGTCTTTTTGAGTTTCAAGCAAGCTGTTTGCCTTGGCAACATCAAGGCAAGAAAAGTCAACCCCTCAGAAAAACTCCCTTCTAGGACTGAAAGCTAAAGGGAGCAGATGAACAGCAGCTAGTATGTTCACTGGTAACCACAGGGGTCTATTTGTGAATGGAAGTGGGGCAAATGCAGCAATGAAGAGACAGGCTGGGTTTGGACATGTACCAGTGGCACCCTTTGATCTTGAGATGAGAGAAAGAGAAAAGACTGGCTGGCCTGAAGTTTAGGGAGTTGTGTGAACTCCTGAGCCCATGGGCACTGATACAGTGCTGGGGGGTTCAGGGCGGAGAATAAAGGCCAGCTGGTTTGCAGTGCAGGGGAGGTGTGTGTGAACTCCCAAACTTGCAGCTGGTACCCATTTGACCTAGCTTTGAAGGAGTTCTGGTAGCGTAGTGGTTACGAGTTGGGCTGCTAACCTCAAGGTCAACAGTTCAAAACTACCAGCTGTTCCGCGGGACAAAGATGAGGCTTTCTGCTCCCATAAAGATTTATAGCCTCGGAAACCCTCTGCAGGGTCGCTATGGGTCGGAACCGACTCCACCACCTTGATGGCTAGGGCTGATCTGATCAGATGACAATAAAGATGTTTGATACTGTGAACAAATATAAACTGTTAGAATTTGATGGCCCAGACTTTTGCTTATGGAAGCAGTTGCTCAAAATTCCAACCAGAATGGAAGATTCTTCAGATAAAGAAACATATTTATCTCTTTAGCATACTGGGTTGATAGAATGGACAATTTAGATATTGGCTATCAAAAATGGAGCAGGGTGGGGTGGGGACTATAAAGGCATGAAGCCACTGGTTTACAAGTTTTTATGGGTGTGCTTAGTTTCAGAATGAGGGAGGTAAGGTAGAATGCTCACAGAATAGTTTTCCTCTTTTCCACATGCATCTGGTTAAAGGGGATGAGGGATAATAGTGATAAGATTTTATGATTCAACTGTGAGTAATTGTCAGCAGGGTTAACTGTGATTGCCAAAACTGTCATTATAGAAGATGTGTAACTAAAAAGAGGGCGGAGTAGTTCATCTTTCATTTCAGGTGTGGACAATCCCAGAATCATCAAGAAGGAAGAGCATGAGTGGAGTGTGAGATCTCTGCCTAAAATAGCAGAGCCAGCAGCAGAGGCCATGCAGCTGTGGACTCTCGTCCCAGGAACTGAGTAAGGCTCTGTGTCTATGGGCAGGAGGCTGGCTTGCAAAATGTGCCCTTTGAACATGTAAATGAATATCTATTTTTTTGTTCTGTAGGTGTGCATCAAATATTTTTGATTTGTTTGTTTATGAAATTTAAGATATAAATGAGGCCAGTGTGTTTTCAGTTGTACATGTTTTAGTTATGTTAGGCATAATATTATTTAGAGATAATGCATATTTATAGTGCCAAGTTGATAAAGGGTAGACACTGTGATAGGGTTTTATGTATACTTGACTAGGTCAGGATTCCCAGTGAGTTGGCAGTTAAGATGTGATTAGCCCCATGGTGCTGACCTAATACAGGCATAGTTATGAACAGCCTATCAATTATTGGTTATGAACAGCCTATCAATTGATAGGATGTTTCCTTGGGGGTGTGGCCTGCTCCTAATATAATAGACACGCAGGGAAATTGCTCTCTCTCATCCACTGTAATTGTAACCCATTTCCTTGAAAACATTTTCTCTTTAGAGATGCACATATATAAGTTTCACTGGTTTTGTTTTTTTAGACGCTTTACCTAAGACAAAGTAGGATAAGCACTGGACTGCTAACCGCAAGGTCATCAGTTCAAACCCACTAGCCATTCCTAAAAAAGCGACAGAGAGTCACTAAGTCCGAATTCACTCCATAGCACTTAACAACAACAACAACAAAGTTAAAAAAGTACTGTTACAGAATCATAACCTTTATTGAACAAATGCTATTGTTTCTAAACATATCCTCTCATCTAAGCCTAAACATTCTGAAGACAGTATTTACACATCTTTCATCTACCCCTGAAGAACTCTGTTCTCTTCCGTTTAAACCACATGAAAACAGTTTGGTAACCTATCATCTAGAGATTCAAGTCATGTTCCTTAAGTTTGAGAACAAAAAGAAGTCTGAAGGGAAGTGGGATAAAAAGGGAGAACAAGTTACTGGCTAGAAGGTAGACACTTGTTAACTTGAGTGAAGAGAAAGGCAATATATAATAAGAGGGAGGTTGGCAAAAAAATAATGGGAGGCAGGGCAAGTCACTTGGAGGAGTGCAAGAGTTAAAGGCAGCAGAGGTTAAATAACCACAGACCTGCATTAACTGTGATCTACAAGTAGACGCAGAGATAGACACACAAGCTGAACAGGTATAGGAGAAGAGTGGGAATATATCACAAATATATACAGGTTTGACCGAGGATATGTTTGCTGCAAATATATCCATGAATGTGGTGGTGCATACAGGGAGCAAAGTTATGAAAAGCTTCTTAGACATAACCAAACACCCTGAGGGAATGAGTCACTAAGCCTGGGGGCTCAGGATCATAGTCACAGGGAACAAGAAGGTCAATTGGCAAAACATATTTCACAAAGACAATGTTCTACATCCTACTTTGGTGAGTAGCAACTGGGAACTAAAAACCTTGCAAATGGCCATCTAAGGTGTCACTATCGATCTCTCTCTGTCCAGAGAAAAGAGAGATGAAAATAAAAGATGCATGGAAACGATTAGACTAATAAACTAATGGACCATGTGGGCATCAGTCTCCATGATCTGGAGACTAGAAGAACTCGATGGTGCTTGGCTATCACTACCAACTGCTCTTAAAGGGATCATCACATCACAAGGTCCTGGATAGAGTGGGAGAAAAATGTGGAACAAATTAAAAATCATAAAGAAAGACCAGACCTACTGGTGAAACCCCTGAGGTATGGACCTTATCACTCTTCATGTCTGGAACTCACCTCCATGGCCAAATAATAGGCATAAGGGGAAAATATTAGTAGGGAAGGACACACATCCTTAAATAGGGGCCAATAACACTAGGGAGGTATGTACATCCTTAAATAGCCATTTGAAATCAAAAGGGCAGCAATTACCCAAGGAAAAAGTTCACAAGGGTTTAAAAAAAAAAAAAAAAAGGAGGCCTAGAAACAGGAAACTCAGAGAGGGAAAGGGATGTGTGATGCTATGTGAGAGGGGTTACAATCAGTGAGATGAAACAAAATATGTATGAAATGATTCATGGAAAACTGATCTGCTCTGTAAACCTTCACCCAACTCACAACAAAACCTTAAAAAGAAGTCTGAAGGGGTAAGACAGGGGCTGTAAAGAAGATGGGGTAAGTTTTCCCAACAAAATTCTCCTAGGTCAGTCCATGCTATCCTCATTGTCATGACAGAAAGTACACAACAGGTGCGCGGCCATGATGCAAAACAAATCCCTCAGTGCATCTTTCTTAGCTTTTTTCTCACTAAGGCAATTTTCCATTTTCTTAGAACTTCATAATAAACCCTTGTGGTCGCCCTGTGTCATAAACCTATCAGAATTACCCCTTTGGAGTCACCATAAACTTCTGCGCGAACCTCTCTGCCTTGAAATAAATTGACCCAGCAAAGCCCCTCAGAAGTTATTGTTTTAATTAGATCTTTTCTTAGGAGTCACCTTAATGAGACTAAGACAAGTGTATTAATAAAGAGAGAACTTGTCTGCAGCCATTCACTGATCACAGAGACATTTTGAAGCATGTTTTACGTTTTGTTTTTTTTAGAATTTTATTGTTGTTGTTAAGTGCCATCAAGTCAGTTCCAACCCACAGTGACCCTGTATACGGTTTCCTAGGAGGGGCTGGTGATCTTGAACCACTGACCTTGTGGTTCAAACCAACTTTGCAGCCCAGTGCATTAACTCATAGCACCACATATATGAACTGAATGCAACCCTAGTAGTAATACTTTTTACTTACTCTAGCATAGTTTAATCATGGTAAAATAGAAGAAGTAATAATGACAATCAAAAGACATGGAATTGTGGAGGCAGAGTGGAGACATGGAGAGAGGGAGCAGCTTAAGACTCTAGATTCATGGGAAGAGAGGGACTAAGAGCTGGCAGCCAGGAGGCAGACTTGCAGAATGTGCTCCTTGGTGATGTAAATTATTTTATCTGCCTGAGTGTTTAAAAAAAAATGAGCTAAAGTGAATAGAGAGAAATACTGTTAACTGATGGCACATGGAGGGGATTATAATCATTGTAATGAAACAAGGTGTATGATTTGTTGAATGTAAAATTGATAATCTGCCCTGTAAACTTTCACTCAATTCACAATAAATACTTAAAAAAAAAAAGACATGGAATTGATATACTTAGTTTTGAAGTAACAAAATAAAACCACTTCTCTCCTTTCCTCTTGAAAATCATCCCAAATCAACAGAGGGAACAAGTAACAGAAAACTCAAATTCCATCACTGATAAAACAAAGAAATGCAATCCCCAAACCCAGTATATTTGAATGTAGATGGCAGAATGGTAATAGATATTATAGAAGAGGGAGGGCTGAGATCTAAGTGTTTGCAGAGCTGGGCAATGATAAGAAGCAAGTCAGTGTACTCAACAGACCCTGGATCAGCTCAGATATGGCTGAGAAATGGAGTAAGATACAAAAGAGGAGATAGAAACTTAAAGGTGGAGACATGCGTGGTCCAATAATGAGTTTGCAGTGAATCAATGATTATGATTACTCTAATTCTTTACATCTTAGATTTGTTAGGCAAAAAAAAGGAAATGTAAGATATTAGATCCCAGTCCGACTATTCTACTGTACACAGCCAGACATGGAAGATTATTCAGTGGGAAAATAAACTAGACAAGCTTCAGGTTCACAGATTGTAGGGTTAATAGAGGGAATGCGTGAAAACAAAAACAGAATAAGTGAAAATGTATACATCAAAAGCCACTTGATTTAGACTGCTGGCAGCTAGCCATTAAATCCCACACTACCCCACCTCACCCCTAACTCCAAATGATGCTGGGAGAAGTAAATGTCTATGGACAAAAGAATAAAGTTGGATCCCTACCTCATCCTATATGGGAATCAACTCAAAGCAGATTAATGACCTAAATGTAAACACTAAAACAAAACAAAAAAATTCTTAGAAGAACATACAGGGATAAACATCCATGACTTTGGATTTGGCAATGAATTTTCAGATACAATACCAAAAGCAACAAAAGCAAAATTAGGTAAACTGGACTTCGTCAAAATTTTAAACTTTTGTGCAAAGAAATTATCAAGACAGTGAAAGACAACTCACAGAATGGGAGAAAATACTTGTAAATCATATATCCAATGAGGGTTCAATACCCAGTATAAAGAACTCCTACAACTCAACTACATTTTTTCAAAGAAGACACACAAATGGTCAGTAATCATATTAAAACTAATCAAACGAATCACATCGTTGTTGTTGATAAATGTCGTTGAGTTGGTTTGACTCCTAGTGACCCTATATAGGGTTTCCAAGGAGCGGCTGGTGAGTTTGAACCACCAAACCTATAGTTCAAACCAACCCTACAGTCCAGTGCTTTATCCTACAGTGTCACACCAGGAGTCCAATCCTATTATTAGTCACTAAGATAATAATGAGATACCACTTCATAACCATTTAGGATCGATATAATTAAAACAAAACAAAACAGAAAGAAACAAAGGATGGTAAGGATGTAGAGGAACTGGAACCCTCACGCACTGTGTAAAATGTGGTATGGTACAGCCACTGTGGGAGGTACTCAAAAGTTAAACACAGAATTACTAATGACCCACCAGTTCCACATCTGTGTATATGCTCAAAAGACTTGAAAACAATCACTGAAACAAATATCTGGACCTGAAAGTTCACTGCAGCATTATTCACAAACATATAATGAAATATTATCTAGCCATAAAAAGTAATGAGGTACTGATACATGGTAAAACATGGATGAATTTCAAAAACATGGTAAGTGAAAAACGCCACACACACAAATCACAAATTGGGTGATTCCATCTGCATGAAATATCTAGATAACCCGTTAAAAAACAACAGAAAACTGGATTTGTAGTTGCCAGCCAATGGAGTTGAGAATGGGGAGTTGCTGCTTAATTGGAACAAAATTACCTTGGGAGTGATGAAAATATTTTGGAACAACACAGAGGGGGTGGTTGCACAACACTGTGAACATACTAAATGCCACTGATTTGTAATCTCTAAAATGGTTAGTTTTATGTTAAATGAATTTCACTCCCCTCCCCCAAAAAAGATCTTGGCACATAGAAAAAGCACCAGACTCGTATTTTAGGTGTCCTGTGTGTCTTTGTGTTTCCTCAGTACTTAGTCTCTGAAAAGTACGCTTTACCTTTTCACCCTGTACCTCTTGTTGCTTTTTTCTCACAAGTTCTTGCCGTTTCTCATTCTCCTTCTCTTCTTCACATAAGACATCCAAGTATCCATAAGTTGAATGCTCTTGTCTCTGAAAGTAGTCTTCAGATTTTAACATAATGAGAGAGACAAGAAGCCTTATTATAACAGATTCTATGTTTTCCAAACAAAAAATAAAACATATAATACATGCAGGCTGGTGACATAAATCCACAAGTAAAATCTGCACTAAAAGCTGTTCTGAAGCAAAGATTCTTTAATGTGCACTAACATCATAGTTGTAAGGAATAGTGTAGGTGAGGAAACTGTAACACTATCTCTAGTGGATATTCTTCTGCAGGCCAAGTAGGACATCGATATTTCCAGGCACTGCATGGGAACTCACAACTGCACGTGACAGTCATCCTTGCACATGACAGGAGATGTAACATGCACAGTCCCGAGTGGTGGGGGGGTGTTTGGCAACTCCTATAATGATTGCGTTATCCTGATGTGGCACTGTGGGCATTAGCATCAGACTGCAAAGTCATTTGAACTGCAAGGTAGGTGGTTCAAGCTCACCAGCTGCTCCTTGGAAACCCTATACAAGGTCACTATGGATCGGAACTGCACTTAAAACAACAGAACAACAACCCACTGAATATCAAGGGGAAGGATTTCACACTCATATAGACCTTAGTTCTGGATATAATCTAATTTCAATTACATATGTGGCTCACTTCTTAAAAGAACATTTAGAAAGTAATTTTCTAATATAGATAAAAGTAATATTCAAAATGATTCTTAAAGGCTAACAGCCAACCAGAAACTATAGCCCCTTGAGGAAAGATGTATCGTACAGGAAAATATATACTTTGAGTTGCCTGGATCCTTAAACAGAAACATTCTGCCTTGTCAAAAACTATCTCCATGGCAATAAGCATTAAGCTTACAAAGCAAAGACTAGTGCAGTCAAGCATAACAGGAAGTCACAGAGCAAGTTTTTAGGCCATCAGTCCAATTTAGGCATCCATTGTAAGACTTCCTCCAAATTCTAAGTCAAAGAATGCAACTTCTAAATAAATCAATAATAGGCCCACTGAGGACTGACAGTTTCTGAACTTTGCACACAAGTCGTTTTGTAAAACCTTCTACAAAATGAGGAAGATTAAAGTTTTATCTGGATTGAAGACTTGTATCTCAATACCTTATGACAACACAAAAGATAGAAGTGAATAAGCATGCTAGTGTTTTATTCACCTGAAGAAAAGCTTACTACATTGGGCTCAATACAGTCTTAATTATGATTATACATTAGGTACTTGTACTCTTCAGTGGGGACTATGTCTCAAAACCATCAATCCATAAATGCATCAAAATGACTTCAACTCCAATAACATAAAGTATAGAAACTGTGACAAGCATGTTTCCCTTACTAATAAAACACAGAATAGAATACCTTCTCTAATAGCTTAATGTTGTTGTTGTTAAGTGCCGTCGAGTCGGTTCCGACCCATAGCGACCCTTTTTACGGGAGTAGAAAGCCTCATTTTTCTCCCGCAGAGCGGCTGGTAGTTTTGAACTGCTGACCTTAAGGTTCGCAGCCCTATTTGTAACCACTACGCTACCAGAGCTCCTTATAGTTTAATGTTGTTGTTGTTGTTAAGTGCCGTCGAGTCGGTTCCGACCCATAGCGACCCTTTTTACGGGAGTAGAAAGCCTCATTTTTCTCCCGCAGAGCGGCTGGTAGTTTTGAACTGCTGACCTTAAGGTTCGCAGCCCGATTTGTAACCACTACGCTACCAGAGCTCCTTATAGTTTAATGTTGTTGTTGTTGTTAAGTGCCGTTGAGTTTAATGTAAGTAGCACAAAATATCAGAAAGTGACTTGGGATATTGAGAAGAGAAAAAAATCTGGTTATGAAACAACCCCAAGCATGCAAAATTTTAAAAATGAAGGAATATTTTAATTAAAACTTTAAAAATCACAAAGCCAAAAATAAGAACAAGTATGATTTTCTAAATTTAAGAGCAGTTAGCTAGACAAGAGATAGGTACCTCAATGAGACTTCTAAAATGGATTGAAACACAAACTAATGTTGGACACATTTACCATTTGTAGGAAGTTTATAAGCTATGGGTGCCAAATTACAGTTAAACTGCACAAACACACAAATTAATTTAAACTGATTAATTTATAATGTACCAATTTAGAAAAAGAATATATGAGGAAAATGTACACTTTCTCAAACAATGTTGATTTATAATCCCTGCAAAAAAATTATTACTAAATTATAATGATTATACAACCTTGAAATTAAACATCATAAATAATAGCAAAATGGTTCTTATTACTCACAGTTCTACCATAAATACAGAAACTTAAGCAGAAAAGGGCAGCATACAAAATACACTTACTTCTCAGGTAAAGTAGGGAAAACTTAAATGAGGTAAGCCACAAGGTAGTCACAGAAATGATTAAAGTAAGAAGAGCAAGCAGTAAGAAAATCCGGCCACACAGCAAAATGAGATCTTTAATTCCTTAAAAAGAAAAAAATGCACAGTTAATTAGTATTCAAAACATTTTTCTTGATACTAATAAGTGATACATACTTTAAAAATACACTAAAAGTTATTTTCTATAACTTCCTTATGATTTTTCATATAATATTCCTTATATAAAATTAATCAAGTTTTAGAAAATGAAACTTGCACTACATGGATTCCATGGCACTTAACAACAATAACATGGAACCTGGTGTGATGCTGTAGGATAAGCACTAGACTGATAACTTTAAGCTCCGTCGTGCAAAGCAACCCTCAGAACCACCAGACCAGCATTTAACCCTTCCCCCAGCTTCCTGGTGGTCCTAACAGACACTGAAACCAACTCCATCAAGGTCATTCACAAGCTACTTATGGACTGAGTGCCCTGAACATGGACAACAGCTAGGCCAATAGGAATTCCATTTAGGGACAGGAACTCTTGTCACATGCCTTCCACAAGCACCTTGCTAACTCCTTGAATTGCAGGAGGCCTCCCCTGCCCCGCCCCCCGAGATTTCTCCCCTCCTGGTCCAACAACTACACTGTTTCTTTTTACAAATATGACAACCCCACAATGCCCCAGAGACAACAGACAATGTTAGCTCATATGAAGACTCAAGAGAGAATGACTCAAACAAATGACCAAGATACAGAGCCAGAAGAGGTTTCAAAAGAATGAGAATTAGGTACTTTCAAAGAATCCATAAAAGATCAAGGAAAGGAGGAACAGAATAAAAACTTTAGAAGAATTCAGGAAAATGCTACAAAAACAAACAGAAAAATAAAGGCAAATTTTTTTTTCTTAAA